TAAATGAGAAAATGCATTACAGTATTTAGCCCACTGTCTAGGACATGGTAGGTGCCCAGTAAAAATTAGCTATTGTGAAAATATGTCACTGAGCCACTCCTGGAGTTCCCATCCCTCTCCTTGTATTACTGAGAACAGTTGTAGGAAATTATCACATTCCCAGCTCACTCCCCACTTCAATCAGAAGCAAAATGCCGGCTATGTATCTGATCCCAAAAGCATTGCCACATATGTAGCTAAAACTATGGTTCCATGAGCATGTGAAGGAGATAGTAATATTGTATTCTACACAGGAAAATATCCTTTAAAAAAGCCTTTTAAAATCTCTGTTTTTCCCCAGAAATTCTCTCCATAAGACTACTATTGCATCCATCATTTCTTTTTTATTTTTTCTTATTTATAGATTTTTTTTTAATTGAAGTATAGTCAGTTACAACATGTCAATTTCTGGTGTACAGCATGTCCCAGTCATGCATATATATACATATATTCATTTTCATATTCTTTTTTATTAAAGTTTACTGTAAGATATTGAATATAGTTCCCTGTGCTACACAAAAAATTTGTTATTTATCTATTTTTATATATAGTGGTTAACCTTTGCAAATCTCAAACTCCCAAAGTTATCCCTTCCCACCCCCCTTTCCCTCAGTAACCATAAAATTGTTTACTAAATCTATGAGTTTTTTTTGTTTTGTTTTGTACATGAGTCTATTAGAATCCTCTTTTTTTTTCTTTTTCAATTTTTTTAGATTCCACATATGAGTAATATCATATGATATTTTTCTTTCTCTTTCTGGCTTACTTCTCTTAGAATGACAATCTCCAGGTCCGTCCATGTTGCTGCAAATGGCATTATTTTATTCTTTTTTATGGCTGAGTAGTATTCCATTGTATAAATATACAAATTCTTTATCCAATCATATGTTGATATCCATCATTTTTTAGTCCTCACCGTCCCCAGCTGTACCCTTCTTCCCATCACTCCTCATTCCTTCATTTGCATATTCCTTTCAGGAAAATATCCATTTAAAGTCTTCTGTATGAATTAAATTAAAAATTACTCCTGCACCATCCCCAGTAGATCAAATAAAGTATGTTTCAATTTTATATTTTGTGTTCGGATTTGGTGTCAAAAGATTTCAAAATACCAAAATGCATTATAAAATTTTTAAATGGTGAAATAATGTTATAGAACACCAGAATGCTTTTGTTCAAATCTATTATGCCCTAACCCAATGGCTAGGGCGGAGGAGTCTCTTTTCTTGCTGTTGCTTTCAGTATAGAAGGATCTCCAAAAAGGCTGAGAATAGGTTTATATGAGTCATGTGGGTTAACAGCATCGTTAGTAAATAGATTGTGTGTGTATGTGTGTGTATGTGTATGTGCGTGTGTGCTACAATTTCTCTGTTAATGAGACAAGTTGGAACATACAGAAGAGAAATCTATCCCAGATAGGCATGTGGGGAAAGGGGGCAGTTAGAAGAAAAGATGTGACATCTAAACTGAGACTTAAGGAAAGAATATAAATTACCCAAGTGAAAAAGGAAGTGAAGGATAAAAAATGTTCCAGGTGGAGGGAAAGCCAGCATAAAGATGCAGAGGCTACAGAAGAGTGGGTGTGTTCTGAGAACTAAAGGCCAACTTCACTTGATGTTTCCAGGAGCTCTTATCCAGATACAAAGCAGATCCAGGTACAAAGGCAACTCTGCTTAATTTCTCACACAAAACAAGAAAGGATTCAGACTGGGAGACCTGCAGATGGTGAAGGGAAACTGGCTGGGGCTCTGGGCTACCTCTGTCCCTCTCACACTTGACCCAAAGTATAGCTGAGTGGGCACCCACATTCACAAACTTGATCTCACCCAGTTGCTTCTCAGACTTTCATGTGCTTGTGAACCATCTGAGGAATCATGTAAAAACATAAATTCTGATTCCGTAGATCGACGGTGAGGCCTAGGGGCCTGCAATTCTAACGAGGTCCTAGAGAATGCCTATACTGCTAATTTACAGACCGCAGCTTGGGTAGCAGAATTTAGCGGCAAATTGGTTCTCTCAGTGGGACATCAGCAAATGCTCAGCTGACAATCACTTACCTTTGAAAGTAATGTTATTGTTTAGTCTCTTAGATTTGTTTTTTTTTTTTTGTCCTGAAAGAGATTTTAAAGACCATTAGTCCAATTACCTCATCTTAGAATGAAGGAAACAGCTCAGAGATGAGAAGCGACTTGCTTCAGGTCACAGAGCTGTTATTGATGATAAAGTCATGGATACCCAGCACTGCTGCCCTGGAAAATCCTTCCTCTCCACCACACAGCCGTCCTCTTCAAGGAGACCCGTCAAAAGAGGATTCCATACAATCTTTGGTCGTCACAGTTGAGGAAGAGGACTAGGGAGTAGAAGATGAAAAGGACCAAGGATCATTTTGATGTGACCCCATCTAAGATCCCAGAAAAGGGTTTCATTGGAATCAGGGTAGGACTCCAATTTCCTGATTTTCAGTTTAGGTGACTTGTTTTGTACACTTCTAACTATGATGTCCACCAGAAACTAACACAACATTGTAAATCAACTATACTTCAGTTAAAAAAAAGGTAACTCTGATGTCCACAAAGCATATAACCTGAACCATAGCTTCCCTTTTTTACACTGTTGCATGTTTTACAATGTTTATGATACGGTAAATCCCAATTGTAATTTTTTTTAGCATTCTTAGTTTTGTTTTTTTTTTTTAGTATTTGCAAAATTCCAATAATATTAACAAAATACTAACCCATAGAGGGGAAAAGAATATTGCCATCTGTCCAGCTGGCATTCTCCAATTAAAAGAGATTATAATAGGTTTATTTCTGTTAGTCATTATCAATGATAAAAAAAATGCACTGGTTTTTACTTACACATACATGATTTTATATAAAAACAAAGTAAAAATTATTATACTAAACTTCCCAGATTTAGAATTTTCCAATATCCATGCCAAGTAATTGGGCAGAGCTTCAAGAATTTCCTGTTCAGCTAGGCCTTTTTTTTTGTCTCTTGATAAATAAGTAGTATATTTGGCATTCTTTATTTTGATATTGAACTATCTCTAAGTAACCACATGCAGGTTTCCACTGTTCACATTAATGGTTATTGTCTAATTGTTCTGTTTTTAAGCATTTCTTTTCATTTTTCCCTGATTTAGAAGGAAAAAAATCCTATTATCTTCATAAATTCCTACTATTTAAAGTCAAGGTTAAAGAAATGTTTTGGTTTACTTCAAATAAATACCCTTAATAAATGTTTTAAAAATAATAAAAGACTATTTAGGATGGTTAAATTTTTTCCAAGCTCCTGGCATTTAATAACCAAGCTCATAATAATGGTGTTTTAGCAATATTTATATTGAAGATCTCTTGTTAAACCATATAATGTGTAGAGGTATGTACAGAACAACAATTTACAGACTTGAACTTGGTGTAATTGCTGTCCTGAGCCTTGAAAGATGGTTGATCATTTTAGAAATGTAACCAAGTCTCAGAGGATTAATGTTCCTTAAAGAATCATCAAAGTAAATATGTTCCATATATAATAAAAGCCTATTAGAAGGTGGTCTGCATTTAAGTTGAAGTTAAAGTATGAGTCACATCTTAACCCCCATGTACAAAATAATATACATACATTTGTTTCACATTAGCATGAAAAAACCTATAATCTGTGTGCTATGCTCATCTTCAGAAAGGAGTATTCATTCATTGACTATACACATTTTTACATCTCTCAGTTAAGAGAAATTTCACAATATCAAACCTTAAAAGAGTACATACGAATAGAGTTACAAATCTTTTCTACAAATCTAGTCCCAAATGTATAGAATGTGACAAACCACGCCGCCCCCTCCACTGCCTCTTATCTTTTGCCAATTTGGCCTCCAGCAGAGTGTCTGTCTCCAGCCACTGGAGGTCATCTGCTAAAGCTCCATTGCCCAGCTAGTGTCCAGTGCAATCAGAATTTTGTTCAATTACAAAAACACTCTTCTGCTGGTCTATCAGAAGCAATTGTGTGTAACATTCATACTTTAGAAGATTAAACCATATGTTACTAATGGACCAACTGAAGGAAGCACACTTTAATGACTGCTGTAAAACAGTGTCCTGTCTGTTGACAATTATTTATTTCACTAGCCCTTGGGACTTCCCACCTTGCTTCACTGAGTCAGCAAATATTTACTGAGCTCCTACCATGTGTCAGGCACTGGACTGGTGCTTGGGGATATAAAATTAAATAAACAAGCATAGTCTCTTCCGTGTTATTGCAAATCAAAAATGTGACCAGATCAGTACTGTCAGTACAAAGGATATAGACCTAAATAAGGTATAAATTTGTTTGGAAGTAATGTCTCCCCCTTTGACTCCCACAAGAGTTTTCTTCTTTTAGAATTTATTCAACACATAATCATTCAATGTCACCTATTGTGTATCAGGCATGGTGCTTGCTCTTGAGAATATAGACATGAAAAAAGATACAGCCTGTATTCTATATGGAATTTATAAACTAGTGGAGAAGACAGAATTACACGAATAGTTATTTGCTAAGAGCTAAGAAGCAGAAGTACCAAGTGCTGTAAGAAGATCGTTGAATTCTATCACGCACAAGTCTTTAGATCTGTACTTGTTTCATCTTTGTATTATCCACAGAGCTTGGAAAAGTTGACATGTAAATGAATATTTGTTGAGTGATTGAGCCCTTAATTTGAGAACTGGGTCAGAAAACATCACTCCTTAAAAATGAAAACATTAATCAAAATAACTAGATGTTGCATTTATGATTGCTGTTCAAGGATAGTTCTGGTTCTCCTCTTCTAAGCACATGGTAGAATTATACTTTCTATTCCTTTAAAGATATGCATGGCCATATGACTTGCTTTGATCAATGAAACGTTATTAGAATTGGTATGTATCACTTCCAAGCAGAAGGCTTGAAGAGGAAGTGTGCAATTCAATACAATTCTTTCCCCTACCATGACGATGGTGTTCCAGATGAAAGATGATCTGTACCTTCTAAGGTACTAATGCCCCAAGACACTCAGTCTGAAATGGCTGTCAGCCTCAGGTGAGATGACATTTGGTGATGGGAGACAACACTGTCAGCTTGTTAACTAAAATAGCAGCTGTGGCTGGAAAGAGTTATGTAAGTTGAAGTTACGAGAAATGAGAGAAATTTACAATAATAACATTGGTCTTAAAGTCAGACATGGTATAGAAGTTAAACTATTAAATGTTAAATTTTTTTTTAATTTTGGGGTGGTAATTAGGTATATTTATATATTTTTAGAGGAGGTACTGGGGATTGAGCCCAGGACCTCCCGTATGCTAAGCATGTGCTCTACCAACTGAGCTATACCTTCCCCCCTTAAATGTTAAATTGTTAAAATGACTGCTACTTCTGTGCTGTCACTAAATTTGAGGCAGAATTTTTTAAAATAAACTTTCTGAACTGGACTGTGTTTTAATACTGAATGTATTTATTTTTGCCACTTGTGAAAAACTACCATTATGACTATTTTGAGAATTGTTACTAATATTGTTTTATGAGAAAGGTATTATTGCTCTATTTTACATAACTCATAAGCTTAACCAAATAAGTATAATTTTTTTATGCTGAAAATTCCATTTTCTTCCAGTAAAATATACTTTTAACTTTATACAGAATAATGTAAGAATGGGGCAAGAATTCATGTAACAGAAATTTGATGCAACAATCTTGACTACAGAAATATCTATTCTCTTAAGCAGTGGGTTTCAATAGTTACTCTTAAGCAACGACTATGTCCCTAGTATATTGGACAAATTTCATTGGAGGAAAATCATAGTCAATGATTTAGAAAGTCTTATCTGGAAACAAGGAGATGTATTGAACTTAACAGGAAACAAAATGGATCGATACAATAACAATAAAAAATCATTTTAGCAGAAGTCACAGTTGAAAACATTAAATAATAAAATCACTAAACTTATTAAAGATGAAAGGGGAAGCGGCAGATAACTGATCATTATTTTAAAACTGTTCCAAGAAGACACTACAGTCCATGGCTTATTTTCCTTTGTGCATAATGTTATGTAGGAAACAATTTTTCAATTCATGCAATAATATTTATACTGCACTTTTCCATTTATATATGTTCATAAATACTAATCAATTCCCACAACAATGCAGTGAGATAGCTAAGAATTATCTAGAGTTGACAGATTGAGAGCTTAAAATGATGTTTGGCTATGATGCCAAGGACCCCTGAGGGACTTAATAAGAGAGCTGACAACAAAGTCCAAAATCCTGGCTCCTGGCTGCTGCTAGAGCGAAGGAAGCTGTCAGAGGGCATTCTTGTCCTGTCCTGACTCCTATTCTTCACCGTGACCAAGGAGTCAAAAGCCCCTGCTCCTGCATTACTCCTGCATGGTCAGCCAAGCTATCACAGATGCTTCTTCTAGCCTAGTTCTTGGTGCTTCACCAAGTTAGGTATCTCACATTTCCCTAGAAAATATTAAGAAAATTTTCAAATCCACCATTCAGAGACCTGCTGAAGACTCAAGAAGTCTTCAATGAGTCCAAATGAGAAAAGTCTACTTAGAGCTTAAGAAGGAATATCATTACATTCTGCAAAACTAAAACCAGTCACACTGGGACTGATTCATCCGAACTCTTTTAATTTTAGGGAGCTTGTGGTTTGTATGCAGCTGCTGGTGATCAACCATCCCGGTTTACCAGGAATGGAGGATCTCTTGGTATTTGCAAAATGAGTATGCTCTTACCTACTTCTGTGTTGTGATGATTAAGTGAGGTCATTACACAATTCCTGCCGCATGGAAGAAGATCAATAATGTTTGCTATTTCTCCACTCACTGACAACCCCCTCACCCACGTGCAAGTGCGTTGTGTAAGTGTGTGCACACAAACACGCCTCAGAGAGAGAGAGAGAAGGCAGAAGGACAAGTGTACACCCAGAGACTTTGTAGCACTTGTGTATTCTCCTTGGAAGACTCTTATATTTCAGGGTGAAAAGGAAGAAAGAAAAAAAAAAGGAGAAAATGGATGTGTTGTTTATATTGCTTACCTGGCTAATTTCCAGAAGAGACTAATAATAATAAATTAAGCATGTATTGACACTTTCACTGTAAGCCGAAAGCACAATTTATTCAACCATTCTCATTAAGAATTGTTTGCATGTCCAAGTGACATTTTAAAAATACGGCTTTAAAAACAAGAATAAGTTACGGTGTATAAAACACTACTTTCCAAGGGTCAACAGCCCTAATGAACAGTTTAATAGGCAGTATTATCTCAATATAGACAGAATCTATTAATAGAAACTAGAATAATTTTGTGAACCTCAAAATAAAATAGATAAAGCAAAGTTTCTAAAGTGAGTATTTTTCTACATGATGTACTGTTAAAAAGTAAGTGTGACTGGGTAAAATAATTCTTAGGTTCCCAAAATGTTGGTGTAGGCGATTTATACCCTGTGATAATTTATACAGCTTGCCTGTAGTTCTTGGTGTGGACAGTGAGGAGTCTACTGAAGGTCAAATGAAAAATTAGTGCCTGATACACTTACACTAGTATTTGACAGAACTAGAAATTAATGGTTGTCAGAACACTGCCTGAAATTGTGACTCCCTAAGATTAAAGTCTTTATTATAAATCTGTGAAATGTGAATCCTGATTTATTGATTACCGAGGACATGGATTTAGAGTGTCAGTGAAATACAGGGCCTCCTACCTCTGAGTAAAAGCTTCCTTGCACCCAATCAAAAATGCACAATGGATGAAGATGGAAATTAGCAAGTGGAAATTCATTCATGCATTCATTCAGTGGACATTATTTGCCAGGTTGTGTGCTACAGACTGAGACACAAAATGAACAAGACATAGCTCTGAGTCTGAAATAACTTACAGCTAGTACAGAAGCCTGCCACAAAAACAGATAATAATAAGGCAACCCAGAAGAAAAAAAAATACTTAATGCTATGTCCAAGGCTATATGGGAAGTAGCTTGCATGGAGATGGAAATCAGGAAATAAAAGGGAGTATGATGTTTATTTTATGTGCCCAGTTTGACTGGGCTAAGGGATGACCAGATACTTGGTAAAACATTATTTCTGAGTTGTCGTGAGGGTACTTCTGGAAAAGTTAACATTTACATTTCTTTGTTCTCTTTTATTGAAGTACAGTCAGTTACCATGTGTCCATGTCTGGTGTTGAGCACAATGTCCCAGTCATCAGTAGGCTGAATAAAGAAGCTCCCCCTCACCAATATGAGTGGGCATCTTCCAGACCATTGATGGCCTAAATAGAACAAAAAGATGGAGGAAGGGAAAATTTGCTCTTTCTGCTTGAGCTGGGACATCCATCTTCTCCTGCTCTCAGACGGTGCTCTTGGTTCACAGGGCCTTTGGCCCAAACAATTATCCCACTGGCTTTCCTAGTTTTCCAGCCTGCAGTTGGCAGATTATGGTACTTCTCGGCCTCCATAATTGCATGGAGCCAATTATATGATAAATCTCTTCCTAAATCAATCAATCAATGTATGTATGTATGTATGTATGTATGTATGTATGTATGTATCTATCTATCTATCTATCTATCTATCTATCTATCTATCTATCTATCAATCTATCCTATTGGTTTCTTTTCTCTAGAGAGCCCTGAATAATACAAGAGGACAATGTTAGTCCCAGGGAAACAGGATGGAGAACACAAGATCTGAGTCATTTGTGTGGGTCCCTGAGAAAAGGACCCTACATTCTGTCTCTTGCATGGTTAATTCCCCAGTATGGGAAACAACAGAACCCTCCACATGAGCTTGGGGATCCCACAGCAGAGAAAATTGAGTCTTAATTCTCATTAGAAATTCTGAAAGAAGAAAGCTTTGCAGAATATCCTATGACAATATGGTGCAATCACTAAAATAAGAACGGTGGGTCACAACTAGATAGAAAGAGGACCTGAGGTAGCCACCCCACCTTCCCCCACCATAATACATACCCTCTTTTTCTGTGGCTTCAAAGCCAAAAGTCTCCTCTGAAGGTTTCCTGAGGCTGCTCAAAAAAGGAGTAAAGGTTGGCTGAGTGTGGAATGGTTTCATGGTTTGGGTCAAACTAAACATTTTTCTGATGGTACTATAACTAGAGGTGTTTCAGAGCTTATGCAGCAGGGATGGTTGCTGGTGGTGTGGCCAGTGTGGCCACAGGCAGCCAAAGACTGGCAGGGATGGTCTAGCTGAGGAAAAGCAGTTATATGGATGCCACTAACCAAGGACCTGAAGTCTCTTTTCAGACTCATTCATAACATGTTAGCTCTTCTGCAGTTTAGAACTTTCAGACCCTAGAAGGACAGCCAAGGCAAAGGGAAGTATGGTGAAATGACCATCAAAGAGAAACACGAGTACAAATTGGAACAAGCTGAGTTTCCCTTAAGTTTATCTATTCTTTTATTTCCAACTTAACTTCTGGTAAATCAAGATGCTCCTCAACATACTGTGAAGTTGATTATTTGCGCCTAACCCAAAACTTAACATTTGTCCTAATTAAATGTCAACCATTGTTACATTGTTTGAGATCTTTTTGAATCACAATTCTGCCATTTAGCATTTTAGCTCTTCCTCCAAGAAGAACTCATTTCACATGTTAAACATTTGGTTTTTGATTCAGACACAACCTTAATAAGAAGTCTCCTACCAAAGGACTTCATCCCATCACCCCCTCTCTCTCTACTGTCAGAAATAAATACACACATACAAAGAAACCCACAGTAAAACTTCTCAGTAGGCTTCTCCTCTTGTAGCAAGAGCAGAAATGGAGAGTAGAAAAACGACATATTTTTCTATTAAGAAATTCAAAGATTTTAGGTCACTAAAGCAATCAAATGAAAAATATTCCTAATGCAGAACTACTGCCATCTTAAGGCCACAGCCCTGTAGTGTAAATCAGTTTTTGGTTCTGTTTAGCTAAATGGCTTATAGAAATTAATTTTTAGGCATTTGTGCATGTTTCCATTTTTTTCAAAGTACTACATAAGCTTTATTGTTTCCCCTTAAACAAATTATATGATCCAGAGAAGATGTGTAGATTAGATTATATAAAAGGTTGAACACTAGAATATTTACTCTGGAGTATTTAGAAAAGCACATTTTAAACTAGTGAAAGATTAAACAATCAGGCCACTTCCTCCTCCCCAAAATAACAGCTTGGTAAATAACATTTACAATGTAGATGTTAAAATACAGCATTATAAATCCACACAATATTATTCATGAGTTATTTCAGTGTCTAAAAACTTAAGCTAGCTGATCACAAAGTTATTATTTAGGTAAATAACAAATAACAAATTAAGTAAAAGGCATACTTAAGTTAAAGTTCCTAAATTATATTATTATCTTTATTAAAATGTCGGTCAGTTATGATGATGAAATTCAATTCTAGAAAATCAGCAATAAAAATCACAACTTCTTATTTCTGAGCATTTCAAAGTTATTTTATAACCTTCTAATTACAAGAAAAAACTCAGTACATGGTATATTAAAGAAACCCTAAAACTTGACAACATAGTATTGACATTACACACAAATAAAAGTACCAGAATTTTAAAAACCAACAAATAAGCAAAAAACTTAAGCAAAGTTGGTCTCATTTAGGGATCTTTTAAATGACACATATTGTTTGCTACATTTGACACAACAACATCTACCAGAGTCAAATCCCCTTACTACATTAGCCTGCTGAGCATGCCTTAACAGAATGCCACAGACTGCGTGGCTTAAACCACGGGATGTTATTTTCCCACAGTTTTGGAGGCTTAAAGTCCAAGATCAAGGTGCAGGTACGACTGGTTCTGGGTGAAACCTCTCCTCTTGGCTTGCAGGCTGAATCTCTCTCCTGTGTTCTCACGTGGCCCTTCCTCTGTGCATGTGCATCCCTAGTGTCTCTTCCTCATCTGATAATGACACCAGCCATATGGAATCAGGGCCCCACTCTCATGACCTGATTTAACCATACTTACCCCCTTAATGTCCCTATATCCACACATAGTCACACTGGGGCGTAGGGCTTCAACATATGAACCATGGGAGGCAAAATTCAGTCCCCGACACTGACATATTTGTCACTCAAAGAAGCAGAAATCAATTGGTATCCGTGTAGAACACTGAACTTTCGGTTCACAATAGAAGAGCTGTGATATTTTATCAGTACATGTGATAAAAATTTAATGCACAGAATAAAGGGAAATACCTTTATTTGAAAATAAGCCTATGAAAGAAAGTGAATATTTGTATTTAATTTCAGGGTTAGGTGAAGAGTGGAAGGAAAGAGGGAAACTATTCCACATGTTCTTAGAGGAGTTAGACTGAGGTTTGAGGTACTGGCCAAGAAAGGCAAGTGCAGCCGCAAGGGGAGTCAGATCTTTAAGGATGCTGGTTTCGATCATTTGTTAAATCGTCTTACAAAGTGTAAATGCTATAGACTCTCTAGCATGAAGGCTCTCTGAGTGAACATGGGGAATATAAGACATTTACCAGTCGCTGTTCAGCAAGTAGACTGTTGATGAACCTGTGTGGGTTTTAGAGCCAACTCTAGTCCCAGGGCCACTTAGCTCACCAGGAAAACCATTCTTTTGTTCTCTTCCTTTTAGCAATGAGGGCACTTGCACATTTATATTACCAAGAGAAGCCCCTAGTGTGCCTAGTCCCACAAGTCCAAGGAGACCTACGGCCTTCAATACATAGTGTACTTGGAAATTTGACCTTGGCAGGCACTCTACTGCAGAGCCTAAAGAGGAATGCTAAGGTCAGTTCTATGGCCAACAGACTCATGAAAGGGAACTAGGTACAAGCTGTGAAACAATCCAGCTTTTTCTTTTTTGATTCAGGCATGATAAACATAACATTAAAGACACTGGGCTCTTATCAGTTGTGAACGAAAAATACTGCAAACCATATCAGTAAACAAAGAATGCTGAAGCCGGCAAATCATGGCAGGTGCTGCCACCCTGCAGTGAAGACAAGCTTGCAGCCGAGCCTCTGCAGCCACTCACAATGGTGCATCCTGAGGGGACTCAGAATAAGAAAGGACAGGATACTGGCCCTAGATAGCTATATGCTTGTCAAAGGAATGAATTCAATGAGCCCAAATGTTTGCTCCCTCCCATACATAGGAAAACGCTAAAGTCTTTAACTTGAGATGTCTGGATTTCTTCAGTTAACAAATAATCTTTTAATGTTCCAACTACCTGGTCTTTGTCGTAAAGCTCCTATACATCTTAGCTCCTCCCCTGTCTCTTCAGAGCAGTTTCTCAGAGCTCTGAGAGGCGTTTCCAGCTTGAGTCCTGCCAAATGAACCCTAACTCTCTTTTAGGCTGTGCATTTGTTTCAGTTGACACAGTGAACAGCTTAATCTTGAAGATTCTTTCTTGTTTCTATTCCAGAGAGATTTGTTTGGGGCTTTTAAGTGTCATAATGGAACAAGTTATCAGTTTATTCAAATGGATCCACTAGGTATGATAAGTGTCCTACCAGATTGAACTATTTATTGCACTTAATTAATTTTTGATTGGTCTATTGGCCTCATAAGGCTTAATATTGTAAGGGTTAAATATAATTTCCAATCAATTATATTTTCATCATGTTATAGCTATTGATTTTTTTCCCCATTAGACAAAGTGTTCTTTTAAATGTAAAACAGGAGTACAAAGTTAATAAATTTATATTTCCTCTTTTTAATGTCCAGATTTGTATCTTCTCTTTTAAATGATTTTCAAGATCTCAAAGTCCTCGACCTTTATATCCAAGGGTTCTTAGAATGAAATGCCCTGAGCATCTGCTGTACTTAATGAATTAACTTTTCTCCTATGCATCAAAAATGATACTAGCTCCACACAGTCCTTGAGAGAATTGAGAACACTGTAACTCAAATCATTGTGTGTTCTATAAACTGTAAAATCTTCTGTCTGCATAAAGTTCTACTTTCTGTAGTATGTTCTCTGAAGTTTCTAATGTCCTTTCAAAGAAAATTCTTCATTACAGTAAAAAATAGGATAATCAAATAAAGAAATAACCAATATTGGTTTTCTTAATCATTGTCATTTTGCAAAACGGTCCTTCACGATTTCTAATAAATTTATTTTCTAATGTGCTCCAGGGGGTGTTGAAAGGTCTCCCATTTACTGCTTAGAAATATACTTAGGAATATACTATGGAATGTAAAACTGTCTATGCAACTCATAATTAGAAACCTTGTGGGCCAAAAAAAATTTTTTCCCCAAATAATAGACTAATTGGGTGAGACGGATATTAGTGGATGAAATTTTCTCCGTAAATCTTGTATTATTCCCCACACAAGAGTAAAGGGTCTGGTGTAACTTGACAGTTTCTTGGTTTCCCTGATGCCTCGGAAGCGAAGGGGAGCCCCGGTTAATTTTGTGGCAAGGCTATGTGCCAACAGGGGCTTAGTTGAGCCCCCAGTTCCGGCAGAAGCGGCTCCTGGTCACATCCCGCCTGCGGGACTCGGGGGTGGGGATGAGGGAGGTGACAGTGCGGCAGAAGCCGGCGTGCGGGCACCAGCGTGAACGTCAGGCGGCGAACCCGCCCGGCTGGGCGCGGGGAGGCGGGCCGCGGAGGGCGAGGGCAGAAGCGTGGGCCGG